AAAGGTAGTCTTTCCTCATAATTTCCTAACCAACATAAATATAGATGCTGCTGGAAGTTTGACCTAAAAAGGAATTTTCTCAGCAAAAAGCATTACAGTTAGAAGATTGAAAGCAAACTTGAAATTTACCTGGTGGCCTGAGAAACATGCCACGTGTGTGTGTGTGTGTGTGTGTGTGTGTGTGTGCGTGCGCATCTCCTTGAAGTAAAAATGGAAGAGAAGGGATTGCGACTTGACCGTTCCCCATGAGGGGGGGCTTTCTCCTCTCCCTCTGCCTTGGTGACTACATGCCTCTCTGGCAAAAAAAGAAAGAAATAAAACTAAATAAAGAAAAGCAGAATAAATAACTGTATTAATCATCAATGATATTAAAAAAAATAATCTCTTAATTCATCTTCAAATGACTAGAAGGAACTATTTACAAAGCTTCAAAACAGCTTCAGACTGAAATCAGCATCGAGACCGTACTGTCAATTAGTCAAAGCTCTTTTTTAGCACAGTCTCTTTGCCAGCAGTTCCAGGGCCCACGTTCACAGGCTGATGCCTGGTTCTCCAGAACCTTCTATGTAGTATCTCTCTCATTTTTGTTCTTTTTTGTGTGGCGTCAGGACCCAACTTTCCCCACAATTTAGTACATCAAAATGTATCAGGCCTGTTTCTTTTTGTAAAGAGCTTTCTTCTCACAAGGATATAGCTTGCTGTCCTGGTAAGCTCATCCATACAATATGCAAAAAAGATGACAATCTCATTCTGTTCTATAGTTAGTAGATATTTTTATTGAGAGTATATTGTGAGAGGCACAGTACCTAAAAGCAGCAGTTTAACATAAAATTTTTGCCATAGGGCATGTGCACTCACTAGGAAGAGAAAAACAGAGAAAGGGAAAGTGAGAAATCACCCCCTGGGGGGGATGGCCATGCAGCAATCCCTTCCCTTCCATTCTCCTCATAGGATCTTTGGCATGGACACAACATGCCAGGCATGATTTTCAAGGCACCAGGTCCAAGACTCCAATTACAGTTGGCCATGTGGGAGTCCAAGACCTTAACCACTATACCACCTGCTGGCCCAAATATTTACTTTTTAAAATGATCATTACTGAGTAATAAAACCCTATTTTCAAATAAGATTTGGCATAAAACACAAAAAAGGGAAAAGGATTTGTTTGGAGGGAAGTAGGAGAATGGCTGGGCACTCCTCTCCTCCTCCAGCTTGCTCTCTGCATGGCCCTAGAGCATTTCAGAGGAATTTCTGCAGGTCCACAGAAAGTCTACAAATCATCTCATTAATGTAATGCTGAAACGAAGGGTGGAAATGTTAGGTATATGACTAGTATTTTTAAATCAGTAGTTTTCAACAAAGGTTAATTTTGCTATGACTCCCGGCTTTCCCTTGCCCCCTACACACACCACCAGTCAACACCACTGTGAACAGTTGGCATGCCTAATGACATTTTTGGTTGTCATAACTTGCGAAGTGATTACCATCTAGTGATAATGGCCCAATATACTGCTAAACGTCTTTCAGTTCGCAGGACAGCTCCCCACAATAGAGAATTCGGTCCTGAAATGATACAATGCCCTGCTCTAAAGCTAGTAGAGCCCCCAGGAGCTCTGGGGGAGTGGGGAGGAGGGAAAACTCTAGTCCCTAGAGCCAGGGCCTGACTAAAGAGTAACTATGACTTGCCCCAGGACTGAGAAAGCAGAAACTTTGCAAGACCGCTGGATTTAAATAGTTTCATTTGCATGTTAATTTACATTGACAGGACCCTGTTCTCACCCAGTCTCCAGAGAGCGCCCTTGAGGCTGAGTATTTAAATAGGCCTTTCTCAGGAGTCCAATCTTCGGTCATCTATCTTCAAGTATTAGTAATACATGCACTGATACCTCTGCTACCAGGAGGTAGGGTCATAGAGCCTGTCTCTTGGAGGAAAGCCCATCCCACTTTCAAGGTCCTATGTGGAAGGCGAGTTCATCCACGGTTCATACTTTCACACCAAGAAGTCTCTCTCTAATCCAAACGCCTCCTGCTGCAGCTCGTTCTGACCTCAGACTTGCCATTACCCAACGTTTTGACTCGAAAAGAGATTATCTTAAAATTTTTGAAAAGCAAACAGGTAAATATTCCATTGCAATTATTAACTCGTTAAGCACATTTGCTCATTTCCAATTTCCCAAACAGGCTTCACGTAAAGGCCCGAGGGGCACCAAGTGACAGTTCCAACCAGGTCATCAATTCGAAAGCTCTGGAGAGTCTAAGGGAAAACATACACTAAATCCCTACCCCACCCCACAGTCATTATATAGAACAGAGTGAGAGAGGGAAGTGCCCCCACTCCCCCGCGGTCCCCTTTTGTGCGGTTCCTGCCAACGCAGCACCCTCCTGCTATATAGCCCCGCTGCGCCGCCGCCCCACACGCTCCACTCCGCCGTCCGCCCAGCCAGCCATGGGGCAGGGGAG